TGAAAAATAGACAGAACTTTAAAGGAGTTGTTAATGCCAACGATTTTCTAAAAGATAAATCAAAAGATTTAAAAACTAACGATTAAAGTAAGATTAAAGAATTAAGGTTAAGTTTTTTGAACTTAATTAAATGTTAAAATTCAATCAGCAGTTTACTAAACTACCTTAAACACTAGTTAAGCTATGATAATCTAAGTTAACACTTAGAGAAATTTAGCTTTTACTAAAAAGTTTTAGTAATTGTTTGCATTACAATTTGCACTTAAAGAATTATAGGTGTAATATTTATGTGTATTTTGCCTGCCTTGACGTAATTGTTTCAATATGTATTTTTTAGTTTTATATTGAAATAATTATTATTTAAAACCAGTTAAATTCCTTAACTGAATATCAAGAGTAGGTTGGTATGGTAGTGTGTTGTTGTTTTTATGGAGATTACGTTTCTAGTTAGAATTTTAATATTTCATTCAGGTGTTTTTTTGTCGATACTCTATGGAGGAGTGTCAAGTAAAACTACATTTATTGAATAATAATTGTTTTAGTTTTTGTTGTACTTGATATTTGTTGAAAAGAAATTACGTTGTTTCTATTAATCTTGTGTTAGATAAATATTATATAATGTTTTATATGAGTAAAAGTTTTTATTTTAATTTGTTTATACCCTACACTACTATGCATTTGTACTGATGTCTGGGTCAATTTAGCTATCGTCTGTCCTTCCGTCCATCTGTCCGTCTGTCCATGTAAAGCTTGTGCGCACGCTAAAGATCGCATTTTTAACGATAATTTAGAGAAATTTGGCGCATACTCTAAGGACAAAGACTATTGAGAATGGTTAAAATCAGTTCATTATTTCCCCTATCCCCAGTACAACGGTACCCCCAGAACAGGGATTTTGAGCTCATAATTATGTTAAATATTCTTCATTTGACCCAGACAATAACTTGAAGGTTAAATATAATATATAAATAAATGATATTACGATAACATTCAGCGTGAATAACACTAATGTAGACGTAAATATCTCTACCACAATTTATAAGAATGGGCCCATATAACCCCTCTTGTCCCCGTATAACCACTCTTTCGTTGGGCCTTTTTAACAGTGTGGGCTTTTGAAATTTTATGATAACATATCTCAAAAACATAAATAAGATAAATTGCAAACTAATCTCCCAAATTCAAAGTTCGTAAATACTAAATTTTATGAGAATCGGTCCATCATTGACACCCCATATAAGGTCCCATTCTGAAAATGACTTTAATGCTCATTACTGGCTTTAAAATACGAGTATAGCGATGCAAATCGTAATAAGTAAGTTTCTTACTCTGAGAAAAATCTCTTTATCAAATTTTATGAGGATCGATCCATAATTGTCCGTACCCTCCACTTATAGACCCTTAAAAACCGTAAAATTGATATCTACTCTTATATAAGCAAGTTTATAAGTACATACTGGATTTAGAAAAATATGTATTCTGAGACGATTGATGGGTGTTATTGCTGAGTATACAACGAAATGCTTCTGTCAAAAGAAAAGTTAATTTCACAAAAAGAGGTATTTAAGCAAAAAAAAAAAAAAACTTTGAAAACAATTGCCAATCCATCAATACATGTACTTTTGACATTGTATAAAGATAAAAACACAGAAATAACTATAAAATTTTATAATAATCTATGTAATTTATAATAAACCCGATCATACAAAGTAATCCATAACACAAATAATTCACTATGACACATAATAATTTTTACCTAAACAACAACAAAAAAAAAGCACAGCAACACAACTAATTTTGATTGATCATCTTCAGCTTCACCAAAAAATACATTTGAAGCTGATCTTACCACAACAACATGAAAGCAGGGTGTGCCACACTTCCAGCCTAAAACACAACAGCAGCCAGCAAACAGCACAACAAGAAAGGTTTTTTTTTTAAGAGCCCTCCGCAGTCTTAGAAGATTTGAAAAATGTTATAATAACAAAATAATAATAATGCTCCAATTTGATGATATATTAGTAACCACCAACCAAACAGCACAAAAAAATAATCTTGGTGAGAATTAAGCATGATTTTTCATTTTATACAGAGTAACGTAGTTATTTTTTAACAAAGAAGATTTATTTTGTTTTGCTTCAACAAAGACTTATAAGGAGTGCTGGAAGAAGAACGAAGATGATCAGCTCAATTTTTCAAGTACATACTTTGACAAGATGATATTATGTGTGGGTTAGGGATTATAGGTTTTGACTTGTCACTTTGTTATCTAGTAATAATAATAATAATTCATTTTGACTTTTCTTAAATAATCAAATTGACAAATATTGGAATTAAATTTTAAAATTTAAATAAAAATAAATCTTTTAAACAAATAAAGCTTTATTTAATTTATGATTAGTAATCTTTATAAACAGTATTTTCTATTAATTTTCAAAAACAAATCAATCAATTTGAAAACAATCTGTGATAAAGTACCTGCTGTTAAGTGAAAAGAACTGTTTACTTGTTTAGTTTTCTAAAGTAATTTCTTTCTACGATTTTTTTTTTCTTATTTTTTATTTTGACCTTTTACAAGTGATTAATTACTTTTGATCTATCTATCTATCTTTCAGTAAAAAGTAAAGCGTTAAAAAATGTTTCGTTTTTGTTTTTTTCTCTAAACTTCAAAAGGTAACTATTTCATTTCAACGTGCAACAAGTGTAAAAGAAGGGCGTCTTTAAGAAATCTTGTTTTTGGTTAAAAGAAAAATTTCCATTAGGGTTTCTTTTCCCAAAGGTCATTGGGGTTCATTTTAGTAGTGTTTGTTGTTTTTTCTTTACATTTTCTTTTAAGCTTTAATTAAAAATTTATGGGAATTTTTCTTGTTTTATCAAATTGTAAGTTTTTCAAATAACAAATTTTTAAAAACTACATGCATTATGATTACCAAGCAATTTGATTGGTTGTAGTCTCTGTTATCTTAAGGTAAATAAATAAAAAAAGGTATTTCAATTAATTTTTTCTTTCTTAATTTTATGAGAAAAGTCTATATAAAGAAATAAACGTACTTGTAGAATTGTTTAAGCGGTAAGTTTTTAAAAGGGTTTTTAAAAAATTTATCACCTCAAAACATTTTTTGTAAATGTTTAAAACGGAAATGAAATTTAAGTTATAATTACAAGTTTTAAACTTGGTCTTATTGAAAAATATTTAATAAAAACTGTTCCTAAGGAGAATTTGTGCACTTTGTATGAAATGTTTAAAAGTTGGATTTAAACCCGGTCCTCAAAAAAAGCATTTCTTTATTTCGTTTGCATATTTATTAGATTTGCTGAGTTTGCAATAAATCATTCACTATTGTGCTCAAAATTTTAACATCTTTTGTGTTTTTCTGATTAGTTTAAACTAAAACCTGTAAATTTGAGGAGTAAATATTTCCTACTTATTGCACAGTTAAACTGTAAACAAATTTTGTCTGTAATTTCATATCAATTACCTGCAACACTTTAGAGGGTTAAAAGTATTTACAAGTAACAACGGAAGCCGTCATTTAAGCATAAATCTTATCTTATTTAAAAATTAAATATTTATCTAAGAAATTTTTTAAGGGAATTAATTTACTTTATGATAATAATATTGAAATTCTTGAAATTTTATCATAAAAATATGTGCTGTTTATAAAAATATGTACATATCTAAATGAAAGAGTAATAAAATATGCAGATAAATGAATATTTTTTCGATATAAATAAAATATGACTTATGAATTCGAAATGATTTAAGAGACCGTTCTGAATACAAATATATTTGCAACACTTTGGATAATAAATTTACAGTTAAGTGCAGGAAAAGAAATCCACATTTATGAATTAAACAAAAGAATTTCTAAAGAAATCAATAGGTGGCAGACAATTTGAACAGGGACTCATCATTGTTGTTTTGTTTGCTCTAGTCAATAGATACGTGATATTTCTAACGGTCATCTTGTAGAACTGTATGTGTCAGGTGCTAAATTTGACTAACAGACTGAATGTATACGCAAACCAAAGAGAGAACAGTTATCAGGATAATAATTGTTATTTACATAAGATTTCCGATTTCCAGACACTAAAATATTGAACAAAATTTTATTACATCAGAAAGAATACGAAAAAACAGATATTTAACCAAAATCTACTAACAAATAGAATAGGACTAAATAACAAATAGAATAGGACATCGAATAATAATGATTGATAAATCTGTTTTATATCAAAAATTCTGACCATTGTTAAGGTATATACCTATTCGAATTTGGAGAAAGTATTTATGTCAACCTCACTAAAATCAACTTCTTCTAGTCTTAACTTTAAAACCAAAAGAGAATCATAAAGATCACGAAACTGTAAAGAAGAATGTTGTTAAAGACAATGACTTCAATGATGAAGAAGCAGACGATAAAGCACTGACTTAGCTCACGAAGGTCCTGACAATGGTGACAATAAAATTAATTTCAGTAGTTTTCTAAATTCTGCTTAAAAACCCAAAAAGAATCAAAATAAAGTCATATTTAGAAAATGAACGTTCATTAATAACCGCAATCGTTGAGTTTAAATTTTAATCTAATTTCCAGATTCAGAATTTAAGATGTACCTACCTATGTATGTATTAACTAATTTCTCAAAGATTGAAATAATTTTTTAAAATTTCTCCTCGAAAAACATCAAGAAAATAAAGTATAAATTTCTTTATAGTATTTGAAAGTGAATTTAATTGCAGCAGATTAGACAAATTTAGAAAAAACACTTGTTCTAATTTCTCTTTAAAAATATTTTTCTAAGAAATCACACATAAATCTAATGAAAAGCAATGCAACTATCTAACAATAATTATTTATTTATCTAACTTTTCTTACCCACCAAAAAAATACTCATTAAAACTACAACAATAACATAATACAGAGAAAAATAAAAGAAAAAAACTAACTGATAAGATTTGTTTGTTGTCGTTTTTTTTTTTTTTTTTTGTTTCGACTTACCTTTCCTGCTGCTTTTTTATAACGTCTGGTGGCTTCATTAATTAAATCCTTCACCAAAAGATTTCCATCGCCACAAGGCACTAAAATGCGTGTGTCACCAAAACAAACGGTGACTTTCATGTTGGCAGCAAAAAACTCACGTTTTTCTCTGACTTTCTTTTGCAAAACAGCAACAATAATAATGAAGAAGAAAAGACAACAAACACAATTACGTTCCAGGCAAAAATGAAACAAATAACTTTTTTTATAATAAAGTTGAAGTTTATTATTAATGTTATTTCTTTCCGCAAAATAACTAATTTGTATTATTATTTATTTATTTAACTTCTTTTCACTTGTTTATTTTTTGTTAATTTTTTTCTCGTTTCTGTTTTATTATTATCAATTTTACTTTGCAATTGCATTCACATAAAATGTTTGATGTTGTTGTTGCTCACTACTAGGTTAGTGTTGTTTAAGTTGTTTTTGCTGTTGTTGTTGTTAATATCAACGTTAGAAAAATAATCAACGTAAAAAAGCAGCTGCATTGTTAAGAATTTTTTAATAGTGCTACGTTCTTATTGTTGTTTTTCATTTGTAGTTGTTGTTGTTTTTAATGGAATACAGGGTTGTTATTACGAATTAGTAATAAACTAGTAAAGGGAGTTTGCTCATACATGTTTGTATGTGCGTACAATACTTAAATGAAAGAGAGAGATTTTAATATTTAAAGGACACTTGCTCAAATAGGGAATTTTTGTTCACTTTATTATATTAACAGCACACTTGCTAGAAAGAGACCACAATACAAAACACTAAAAAAAACACAAATTTTTATTAACAAACTAACAAAATTTAGTGATCCTCCAATAAAGATAAACTTTTTATGGTTTTCTGTTGTGTTATGTATAAAATACATAAATATATTTATTTTGATTTGTTTAAACTTAGGCTTTATCTGTGTTGTTGTTATTGTTGTTGTGTATATTTCGTTAATGATTCATTTTGTGTTCACAGAATTTATTTTTATTTGGAGGAATGTCTGGAGTAATAGCACTTTCAACACGCACTTTATCGATTTCAAATTCCAACATTAGATTGTTAATAATTATACTCGGTTCAATTTTATAAACATTTTTATTAATTTATTATGAGCTTTTTTTCAGCAACATTAATAATTATGTTGTTTTATTTGTATTTGGTTTCATTACTCAAACTCTAAACTTGTTTTTCTTCTTGTTGTTGTAGTTTTTGCACTTTGTTTTAGCACTGTATTAAGTCGTTGGTTATTGTAAATTCTTATAGATTTCGTTGTTGTTTTTCTAATTTAATAAAACACTTATTTCGTTTAATTTTAATTTCAATATTTCGTTAATTTCATTTATTTAAGTTATGCAAAAGTTTAAACTTGGTTACTCTATTTATAATACTACATTATTATTTTTAGTAAAACACTAACGCGCGCGCCCTTTCTTTTAACGACTTTACACGTTCATGTCAACAACTCGTTTGTCGTGTAACGTATTTTTCTAATTTTGTTTTGTTAGTTGTTTTATTTATTTTGCTTACCTGTACTTTTTCATTCTTGTAGTTTTGTCGCTAACAGGGTTGTATTCTCCGTGCAGAAACATCTGGCTACTCTATAACAATGTAGAATTTTTCAAAACAAAGGCGCCATTTTTTAAACAAAAACCGCTACAAAATAACTGCAATTTTACTGAGTCTTAGTAAGAATCCGGGGTATATGAGCAAAATCTGCTCATAAGAATAACGAACTGAATTTTCTGTTTCATTAAAGTCAGTTTGCCACCAACAGGGTTGTATTACCTTTGTAAAAACATCTGGCTATTCTTTCACAAACTATTAATTTATAGCACACCCTGTTTATTTAGGAAAATGGGCAACTCTTAACAACTACACGTGAAGTGAAATGTCAAATTAGTTTGTTTTGTTTTTTATTTCTGTGAGCTCTACAAAAATTTGTAAAATTATTTAAAAAAAAATTAAAGTTACTATAGAAATTCTGATTAAAAATGTCTGTTAAACTAAAAAAACAAAAGAAAGTTAAGACTGGTATAAACAATTCCCAGAAAAAATTAAGCACTACACAAACTACAAATTTGAACGAAACTGTTTTAAGTGATAAAGAAGAAGAGGAAACTATGGAGGAGAATGTTCCTGAAAACAATGAACAGTCCAATGAGGAAGAAGTAGATGATGGCACTGGCTTGGCTCATGAAAGTTCTATGGAAGAAGATGATGAAATGGATTTGGGTAGTTTACACAAATCTGGCTTAGATAAACCAAAAAAGAAACGCAAGAAGGGCATTATTTACATATCCAACATACCGAAACATATGAATGTTACCCGCATCAGAGAATTTTTGGGGGAATATGGCAAAATCGGTCGTGTATATTTGCAACCGGAAAAGTTGCCGGGAGGTAAGCTTAACTAAAAACTATAATGATAGTGAAATATAACCATAATCGGGAATAGTCGGGATAAATAATTTATAATTTAATATGGATCAAATTAAGGATGGCTGTGGGTTGTTGATACCTTAATATATGAACCGACATCACCAAATATTGAAATCATTGATTCACTTTCAAAAAACATATGTGTTCAAAATTTAACTCTAATATGATTGTTTTAAGAAATTAATTACAATTTGTTCAAGATTCAAATATAATTTGTTTAGGAGCTAGGTGAGGTAACAAATATGTATATTAATGAAATAAAAAATAAAATTAGACTATATTAGAATATGTGCTGAAAATTTAAATTCAAATGCATGCCCTCGCTTAATTAGTATTGTTGTTGCTGGGGTTGACAGCACTTGGCCGAATATTTCGGTTCATTCCGGGACGTAGAACCGGCTATCGAAGAATGTTTTAGTTTTAGAATGGAATTAGTAGTAAGGGTTTTAGTATGTTAGCAGTAAATCGGGGTTTTGCTTCTCACGGAGCGCACAACAGGCATTTTCAAATAAATATTCTAAATGAATCATTTGTAATGTGTTTATTTATTTAAAATGTATGTTTAAACGTAGAAATGTACGTAAAGCAATTAAATATTTGCTTTTAAATGAATGAATGAATGAATGAATGAATGAATGAATGAATGAATGAATGAATGAATGTACATATCTAGAAATATTTTTACATAAAATTTGCTGTAGTTTTGTGTATTTGCATTATAAACTACTTAAATAACTGTATTTGAAATCAGTATCAATTCATATCTAATTATTTCCCATTGTAAAACATTTTAACTAATATTTTCAAACCTTTTTTCTACTTCTAGGTGATGACAAAAAGAAGAAAAAACGTAAGCCCTTTGCCCGCCACTTTACCGAAGGTTGGGTAGAGTTCGAATCGAAACGAGTAGCCAAACAAATTGTACCTTTATTAAATAACAAACAAATTTCCACACGTAAAAAATCACAATTCTACGATTATCTCTGGAGTATGAAATATTTACCCCGCTTCAAATGGTGTCATCTTACCGAACGCATGAACTATGAACAGGCCGTACATAAACAACGTCTCATGACAGAGGTATCACAGGCGCGCAAGGAAACTACATTCTTCCAAAATAATTTGGATAAAAGTGAATTTATTAAGAAGAAAGAGAAGAATAAACAAAAAATGGAAGCGAAAAAGTTAAAGAAACAACAACAGCAGGGAGAAGTGTAAATAATAAATAAGAAAATAAAAACAAATGTTAAAGTGAATATTTAATAAGTGAATCAATCAACTGCTTTACTGCAAACAAACGAGAGAAAAGTATGTATAATTAAATTAAACAACAAGATGCAATCTATTTTTGAGCTCAATAAAACCAATATGAATGCATTTATTATAAAAATGCTAGCAATGATGACAAATCCACAAGAACAAGTTGTACTTGAACTAATGCTTAAAACAAGTTGTAATTTGATGTTGGCAGTTGTTTAAATGTTACATTACTATGTATAAAATGTTGTAACAGTAACAGCAGTCAAGTTATTTTTTTTTAGAATTAACAAAGGCCATTGCTAATGCCAATTGTCCGTAAAAAACTAAAACGCAGTTGTTTTTTAATTTTTTCAAATAAAGTCTTTATAACTTTTAAATATATATTTATAAACTTATGTATTGAGATTTATCTTTATATCTTTACAAATAATACTTATTAAACCAGTTTAAATTAAATTTTTAAAAACGACAAGTAAATACACTACACATAATCAAACTTAAATAACAAAAATAATATACAATAGAATAATGGATTTTTATATTAACAAAGTAGTAAAATATCATTAACAATTTATATGTACAAGTAGAGAGAAAGCACTTTTTTCTTATTCCTAATAAACTAACTTATTCCATAAATTCTTTTACGATTTCATTAATACTTTCGTAGGTGCCAGTGATAATACCCAAAGTGGCTATAATCAATATTACTATGTTTTTCAAATACACCCAGGTATTTAAACCTTTGGGTCTCTGAGCTCTAATAACAAAATCGACGAAAACGGGGAAAACAAAAGCCAAGGCGGTTGAGCAGAAAGCACCAATTAACGATATGAACAAATGCAATTTGGGCACCATTAAAGCAACACCAACTGTAGGAAAATAAATGGAAAATTAGATTTGTTTTGTTTTCATAGATTTTTAGTTAAACTTACAGGTTAATAGTACCATGAAGAATCTTAAAATGACTTGTATGGTTATGGGATATTTTTGGGCGCTAGAGTAATTTTGTTTCATGGGTGGCCAGATGATTCTGATCATGATAAAGAATTGTATGGGATATCCAAAGAATACACCTAGAGCGGCGGCAATTTTGACAACTTGTGATAATCTGAAAAAGGGAAATTAAAATAATTAAAATGAATATGTCTTTATACACAAAACAATAAGAGCCTGTTTCCTTATAACGTGCGAGTACTTTGAGTAAAAGTTTTAGTTTTAGTTTTTTATCAAAATAACAATGTACAAGTAAAATTTATGTTACTCAAAGTACTCTCATGTTATCTGCAAAGAAAAGTAGATTGAACATTTTTCAATTGAAATTCTGATTAGAATAATTGAAATTGCAAACAAAGTATTTTTTAGAAATTCTTTATACTTACGTATTATTTGGATCCAAATTCAAGGTAATACTGCCTTGAACATCTTCGCCCCATCTTAGATAACTGATGAAACCGGTTATAATGAAAATCGAGGTAATGCCCACCATAGTAACATTCAAGACACCATAACGACTATTGAATTTTTCGGGCTTCTTCATGGCATTGCGTAAAGGTAAAATCAAGGCCACACCTTCAAAAGAAAACAAGGCGGTGCCAAAGAACAAAGACATTTGTGGACCATTAGTGAATAAATGTCTCTCGGCTGGTGAAGGCATAGGGCCACTGGATACCGCTATACTCAAAGTAGCTACCATGCCAAAAATCAAGGAAAAACTGGCCAGAGCCGATACGGGTGAAATATATTTAAGATTGGTCAACAGAGAAGGCAACATGGCGGGTAGTAAACATAACAGCATGGTAATATTGAAACTTATTTCAAAGCCATATGATTCTAAAATCTACAGGGGGAATGGAAGGGTTAAACCAATTCAATTTTCTTAATATTTCAATAGCTGTCCTACCTGATGTAAATTTTCGGTTATAAACACAAAATAAATGGAACAAAAACCAAATTGTGTGACACACAAAAATGTTTCCACCATTACTCTCATAAGTTTGGCCAAACGTCTGAAGGGTTTGGGTCCATATTCGAAACACTTCTCCACTGTATCGGGATAATCATAAAATGTGGCACCTTTAGTGCGTTCCACTGCTAAAACAGAGCCCGCTATTAACATTTGTTCACAGTGTACACATATCAATGCAATAATGGGTAAAAATATAGTGGCACCCGCCAAGCCACCATTTTTAAAACAATCACCCATGGCAAACAGACCAGCACCAACACTGCCCTTAAATAAATGTATGGCAGTCTCCAGTTGACTGTAAAAATGTTCATAAAATTAAATTTATTTTATTTAAATTCATTAAATTCTTTTCAAATTACCTGGTTCTATGTGATTTCTTAGTGGAAGCTTCAACATCTTCGCTTACATTTGCTGCTGCCTCCCGGGCTTTTGGTGTTTGTAATTCTAAAGGACTTTCAGTCTTGGCGCTTTGTATATCTTGTGGTAGACCCATTTTTAAGTGTTTGTTTATATTTTAAAGTTATCACAGTTTTATTAAATTATAAACTTTTTTTATTAATTGTTAAAAATTAAAAATTATGTTTTATTTTCTTAAGTTAAAAAAACAGGACCAGCCTTTAAACATTTATGTCGACTAAAATGAAACAGTGAAAAAAAGTAAAAATAATATTAATTAGTTGGAAAGAGTCAAACACTGAGGACTGACTGATTTATTAAACATAAACCGTTAACGGTATTTATATTGATTTAAGTATTCAAATAATCGTTTCTTAAAAAAAATTGCAGAGAATTTAAGGAATCTAATCAATATGATTTAATAAGATTTTAATCATTATGTTTTCAATATGAAATTAGCTCAATATTATTAGCTGAAGTGTTTTTGCAATTGTATGTTTAAAGTTTTATATTTTATCTGCCATTCACTTGACGAAAGTAATTGATAATCTTTAAACGAGATTAAAACAATTGAATTTTGTAATTTGAATTTGATTGCTAAAATCAAATACAAGACGTCAGCACTAAACTCATCAAAAACTGCACTTGGTGGCATTTAATCATGACAACCAATGCAATCGGTTGCAAAAATCAGACACATAGATTGTGTTTACTTTAAGATAAGATAGTAAATAATTAAATGGCTGCACAATTAATGGGGGAATTCAATTAGTATAAAATATATACATACATATCTTTTGAACAAGTTGTTAATGTTTTAAATAAGTTGTTAAATTTTTTACTAAATTTTGACCTTTTGAGAAATGCAGATGCGTCAATTACGAAGTTTGAAAATCGGTCACTATATTAAGTGAAAAATATGAATTTATTTTAATAAAACAATTCCTAAATGAACCACTTTTTTCAAATACTTAAAACACAATGATTGAAAAATTAATTATTCTTAATTTGTTGTACAAATGTTTAATCAAAATTAAAAATAATCACGATTTAATAACAAGTTAAATTCCTTAAAAATATTTTATTTGTTGTAAAAATAAAATTAGCACATGATCAAATACAATTTATAAATGTATGTACATATATAAAAAGTAATTTTGTTTATTATATTTTATAAAAACTTCTGAAGATTTAAAAAAGTGTAAAAATTGTGAATTGTGAAGATAATCGTCACTTAAGTGTCCTCTTTGTAAGCGAGAGAGGGGACACTTAAAAACAAACTTTTTGTCTGTCTTTTCGTAATCTATGGGGTGATGATTGACTTCCTTGTAGGACAAGCACATGTTAAAATAGCTAGTCACCTGGACAGTCGGTGGCTAGGGGTAACCCTAAGTGGTATCCCTAAGCAGTAAGAAATATAAATCTGTTTTTAATAAATAATTTATTTACATGCTGGTTTTTATTCATAAAATGCATTTGAAAACGGATTGTGGTTTTCCATTGCATTAATTAAGAAGAAAAGTACCTTTAAATTGAATTCAGATGAGAAAAATACTAGATATATTGCTCAAACAATACTTGATATATTGCTCGGACATGGCCGAACATATCATACCCTACACTATGCTATGTGTATATATAGAAAACTAATTTTCTAAAAGTGGTTTTATATGGAAATTAAGGACAAATATTAGATGATCCTAATAAATCTAGTAGGAGGAATTGATTTTGTATAAAAGTCCTTAAAAATGGCGTGAGAGTTGCTCTCCAACTCAGGCCCTAATTCGTATTAATTGCGACACTAATGGTTATAAGTCATCATTTTCTTAAAGGGTACCTTGAATGGGATCTGGAGTCAAATGGGAAGATATAGGGCTAGGTAAAACAATGGACTAATTTGAACCATTTTCAATAGTCGCCCTTGGATGGAAAAAACGTATAGTCCAAATTTCATCAAAATATATTGAAAATGGATGTCTGTAACTTGAGCACAAGGTTTATATGGACAGCTAGTCGGACTGAAAGATGGACGGACATGTCTTAATGGAGAGAGACACTGAGTCTACTTTATGCACAAACGCCTAATACACTCCCCTCTATGGTGGTATAGGGTATAAATGTAAATTTTTATTGAGGAATCAAACAAGAACTTCGGAAAAATTTGAAAAAAGTAAAAACTCTAACTATACTTCCATAAAGGATTGCGCTCTTCTATATCCGAGTCTTACTTTAGGTTAAGAATTGGAAAATGGTAACTTCTTTACTAAATTATACTCAGGCCTCTGGGTTAAAAATTCGTACTTCAATCCTAGTACATACAAATCGGGATCGAATACGAGCACATACCGAATAATTAAATTCGATAATATCAATAAAGTATTTCAAAAACTTGACGACATTTTTATTTGAAATTTGCTGAATTCTGCATTTTAAAATTAATAATTTCGTTTAAAAATATTAAAATTTATTTAATTGTATTTGTTTAATTATTTTATTTTTAATCTTATCCATACCGTAGCTTTTGATTAAGAATCATTGTGCATATTTTTATTTAAATTCACTGAAAAAAACGTGACTTTTTGGTATTTAAAAACACTTATAAATATTTTAATTGAAAAATCATTAACACTTCAAACTTTTTTAAATTCCAAACAATTTTTTAAAAAAATCATATTTTAAAATTGTTATCAATTTAATTAAAGAATATGTATGTTTAAAAAAATTACCATAAATATATAAAAATTAAACCATTTAGTTTAATTAGTATTGATTAATTTTAAAAGGATTTCCAAATTAATTATCCTTTTTTATTTAAAATGCATCACTTTTCTCAAACGTTGTGCTCACGTCAATGTTTCATTTAACACTAATTTTCATCAATAACTTTTTGAATTTGGTAAAATCGCACTCACTAATAAAATACTTAGTGTTAAATTAAGTGTAAGGTAGTTTTTTTACTTTTATCTATAGCGTAATGTTATTGGGTCACTTCATTTCGAGTACCTGAAAAAAAATTTTTTCAATTCAATCTAAGATTATGGTAATTTAGACACCCTACTGAACATCAAGGTGGTGTGTAATGAGAGTTGGTAACGTGTGTAATGTTTGAAATATGATCGAAAAGTTTTTTAAAAAAATTTTTGAAAATATTTCTACATTTTCCGAAAAATAGAGATCTTTGAAGTCAATATAATATTCCAAGGACAAAAATGTATATGTTTTGAATTGACTCCTAAAAACCTAGAAATAACGATTAGAAATTTTATATACGAAACTTTAACATGATAAACTATTTTTCGACCAGATTCCGTGTAGCCGAGTGCTCTTACCGGTGGATAATTTTTCGATTGTAGCTGCCTCTAAGTTGACATATATTGATAAGTATTACCCGGGAAATACTTCAACAATTCTATGGATTTTACTAGATTTTGGAAGATGTTACATATATAACATTAAAGTCCACAACTACAGTTTATAGCGCCACACTAGTCCACCATCCACCTGTCAGTTATGTGGAAAAAAACCTACAATATTCTTGTCATCAAACATTTCAAACACTTCAACGTGATAAGATTAAAGCGTAGGACATAGCGTGTTTTTTCCCCGACTCTTTTCCTTTTAGCCTAAAGTAACGTAATTTTCTTGTTAACCCTTAAGGCCAAATCGATTAGATCGTTGCAAATTTGATAAGATTTGGCAAAGACGCATCCATCCATCAATTAACTAAGAGATTAGCTCTAGTGTAAACAATATGAGAAGTGACGTAGCAATTTACCTTTAAACACGGAACCAAAACAATCTGATTAGAAATGAAAACAAATCATAAACATAAATTTTATAGTTTGGGAAAAAAGTACACAGTGATAGATAAAGTGATAAAGTTTAAACAATTAGTTGTTTATTAAGTTTATAGCTTATCAATTAGTAGCATAAATGGCGTTAATTTTTAATGGCTGTAGGTTTATTACGTGACTGGCCGAAAAAAAAGTATTACGATAAGGAATTTAGTCATCTAATGGCTATCAAAAGATCTAGAAGAGGAACTTTTATGGTGTTAAGCACTTTAGTGTTAAATATTTAACTAATTTCACTGACAGTTTTCTAAATTAACCCAAGAATAATAGTTCCAAACAAGTTGAAGTTACTGGCCAATTAAGAAAAGTGACACGATTTTTATAATATTTTTAACGAATTCGTCTGGAACCAATTCATTCATCAATGATTTTTGTTTGAATTTGTCACTAGCTCTAGGAGAGTTTTAGAATAGTTCTTGAAATAGTTATTTTTTCACCGATTTTTTTTTAAATTGTTAAGATTGTGACCAATTTTGAGGAAGAGTTGCTGAACTTTAACTTAAACTCAGTTGGACCAGTTTTATGTTGACCGGGTGCTCTGTAACTGGATCAAGTACATGATACGGAAAAGATGGATAAGCTGCGAGATATGCGATATAACTATCAGGAAAATGGTATTTCGCGGTACACTACAGGGTGACATTTTGTCTCCTTTACTCTGGGTTACCACGATTAATAGCATCCATAAAGGACTCAGACCTGTCTGCTATGCAAACGATATCGTAATACTTCTAAGAGGAAAAGATAAAATTAATTATGAAGAAGAGCCGAGGAGGCTCTGAATACGGCCTTGAGCTGGGCTCAACCGTGAGTCCTCAATGTTAACCCGGCAAAGATGGAAATCTGTATTTTCAGAAGAAACACAAAAATGTCCCCTGTTTCCTGGCAAAAAGATACCGGTGACAGACAGTGTGAAGTATTTAGGTGTAATGCTTGACCGGACAGAGAGGATAGAATCAACAATGCAAATCGGTGCTGGGTGAAATGTAGCAGAACTATAGGCATGGAATGGGGTCTTAGTGATACTTTGGCACATTGGCTTTATAAAAGTGTAATTAGACTAATTCTAGCTTATGCTTCAATAATCTGATGGGCTTCTTCGGACAAAAAATGTAGTATCGAACTACTACAGAAAGTTTAGCGTACATGCTGCTTGGGTATAAGTGGTGCCATGAGTACTACGTCAACCAAGGCTCTGGAAACGTTACTAGATATACCACGCATTGAAACATGTTTAAGATAAAAGGCGGCACTTACAGCTGAATGGCTCATAACTTTAGGCGAACTGGCCAAAAGCGGTTACAGGACACGTCATCAATGTATAATGGACACATTGAAAGGCTATACACAATCATCGGACGTGACTGATCGCAAACTTTAAAACGCTGATCCCAGATAGAATGTATTTGTCAAGCGGAACATTAGAGCAAATACCCTTTCGTTGCTATACGGATGGCCATATATTG